TATATTATATGTAGTAAATGTTCCTCAATATTCTATAAAAAAACTTTTAAATTATGACACAGTTACCTCGTATTAATAATTAAGAAAAATATATAATGCATTTTGATGTTTTATTATTGATAATAATTATTATATCAATAATAAACCACATCAAGAATGAACTTTTATGAACTTTTTTCAAGACTACAAAAATCTTGAGAAAGCATTTCACGTTGTCATACGCAACAAGCGCGCAACGTAAACATGCTTTGTGTCTCGCCTTATACTCGGCTTGGTGAAAGGGAGACGGAACATAATATGTCTGCACTCTTCCACGAGCGCACACGGACGACGGCGGTTTCGCTTGTGTGCGTTCTTCCACCACTTCGGTGCTGGCCGACTGCTTGTGCAACCGTCGGACGAACTGCCTTCGCGAGGCGAAAACCGATTGGCGGACAGCCAACACGAGAGGGAGCAGCGCGCACGTGAGGACGAACGGCTCATGGAAATGGCCAACGAGGAGGCGCAGGCGCAGTTACAACGCCTCTTAGCAATAATGGAAGAGGGCGCACGAGACCAGGCCGAGAATGGATCCTCAGAGGGCAGCACCATCGACCAGACAGACCCATTTTGGACGGACCGGGAGATTTGAATGGCCCAGAAAAATTCGAAACAAAAAATGCTAAATAAAAATATAATAGAATAAGAAAAATTTAGGTATAAGAAAATTAGAAATATAAGTCAAGGATAAGGCGACATAGTCGGGATAAGCGATATAAAATTAGTATGAGTTAATTGCTATGAGTTTAATTTTGTTAGGGTTTAATTTTCTTTTGTTTTGATTTTCTTTTATATTATTATCATTAGTGTTATTAATAAATATTAGGAATACATCTGGAATAAAATAAGGACCGTAATACAAGTTTATTGTTTATTTATATAGAGGAACAAAAAATAAACCTCCGTTATCTGAGACTGCTGCACACAGAAGAAAGCGCACAAGATACAAGATGAGCAAGGACACGATTCCAGGAGAGAAAAATAATTAAAAAATTAAAAGAAAGAAAACTATATGGAACAACTTAAATTTAAAAAAAAAAAAAAAAAAAATATATATATATATATTCACAAGATCCGCGAAACGGAAAAACGAATCTTTTGGAATGGTGTAGAAAGAGCGAGATAAAATCTTCTCGAAACCTCGGTGATTTAATTTTAAAAAATTAAGGGATAACACAGGTGCAAACATGATGGGAAAAGCGCTAGGAAATGGAAACCGAAAAAATAATTTTTTAAGGATGAAGCAATAAAAAAATTGATTACGAGGATTCCAGAAGGATCGAAGGCCCGCTATAAGGGAGAGGGAAACCGTTATATAAGAGCGCGGGTTGGACCAAAAGAGGTCGTCAGAAAACGAACGGTCGAGCGATAAAATATAAGGAAACTCGCGAAATCGCAGAAAAATCGATCGCGGCGATAATTACTCGGGATTAACTAACTCGTATACGCCGAGTAACAATTTAATAAATTTGTCAATACAATAAAGTGTAAAATAAAAGAGTTGCCGAGACAAGTGTAACTATTGTAAAAAGTTTGTGTAATAAAACAGTGTTGAAATGTTAATAATCCGTGTGAATTAATTAACAAAACATTGGAACCAAACTGCAAAAGAAAGCACCAACGGAAATTGCGAACGGCTCGACATCGGAAGCTGATTGGTGAAGCAGCTAGGGTGACTAGATCACATCACAGGTGATTGGCGGTGCTTCTGTGCACAACGAAAGCATCCAGAAATACAATCCCGGATTGGCGAAAACCCCTGAGCAGCATCCAAGCGGTGTGCGGGTATTTAGGAGAACGCAATAATAAGGTAAAAGAAGGCGACCAATGAGGAGAAGGTAAGCAATTAAATTTTAAAACTTTCAAATCAAACGAGAAGGGAAAGAAAAGGTTTCGAAGGAAATAATCCAGGTGATAAAGTCAGTATCAAAATAGCGATAGTGTCAATCAGGATCCAAAGAGACGGCATCGAACCCGTAAAACTTATTAAAAGCTCTACGTGAGTATAAAATTAAATTACTGCGTGGAGTACAGACAATCTTGTCGGTAGTGCAGAGAAAACCGACTGGCGACCGTGAAAAAAGAATTATAATTAAAATAAACGCCTAGGGACGTGAATTTGGGGAGTCCCGGTCACACTTGATCTTTCTCGGCGCTTGGAATCGTGCACATAGCACGGAATAGAACCATGTCCACGTTTGGACATAGCGTACGTATCGACAAGTCGCTCGTGGACATTGCTACGTAGTTGCCAATGTGCACCACCCATGGACATGCGCTAGCTTACGGGCCGGAATAGCGATCGTAAAAACTCTTATGGGCCTGGCCACTCTCAGGCTTCTCTCTGGTTGTATACAAAGAAATAGCTTGACCGATGTCAAAAATAAAGTTTATTCTAAATTAGAAAGATTAAAAATATTTCCGTCAGAATTAATGAATATTTTCTAACATTATTAAACATAATAAACAATTAAAATAATTAAAAGATAAAAATTTTGAAACGTACTAGTAAACGTTAAGTTAAAAAAATGATATAAAATAAAACGTATATTTCTTAAAAATATAGTTTTACTAGTTTATTTAATTAGACTATTTAATTAGTCTATTTAATTGGACTTTAATTTTTTTATTAAAAAAAAATATATACTGACGTCTCCATTTGCCGCCGCCGCCGATAAATTATCATCCGCCGATTCCGCCGCCGCCGATATAAAATAAAACGGCGCACGGGTCTACCGGAAAAGTGACACATTTTCTTATGGTCGCTCTCAGTGTCTTCTCTCTGTGTGTACATCAAAAGTATAGTGATTGTTTTACAGTAAAACGCAAAATGTCGACACGATGGTATATATAAAATTTAGAAGTATTAATTACATATAAATCTTAAATTTCAGGAATGCAACAAGCACGTAACATAACCTCATATAACGTAACCTCAATATAACTTTGTGATCTTATTTTTCAGTGTTCGAATAAGATGAAATACTAAATAAAGTGTTTATAGGTATCCAATATATCAGAAAGGTAATCCACAACTGAGGGTGTTTTTACCGAATTTCTGGATGAAACTAATTCAATCTAAGTACAAGCAGCAATCAAATGTAGTAGTGTTTCACTGTTCCATGGAAATGACTACTAAAGATATAAAAAATTATCTAGAAAAAATTTACGCTATTGATGTCGTTCAAGTGAGGATGTACATAACAATGGGAAGATTTAAAAAAGATAGATTACAAGGTGCAGTCATCAAAGAGGAGGATAGAAAAATTGCTTATGTCACACTGGTTGGTTTACTGCTAAGTTTTATCTTTCATTAATTTGGTTAAATTGAGTAGGTCTCTCTAAAATTTTATCTATTTCTTTTCGCAGCCAAAGGATAAAAAATTTGAGTTTCCTACCCTGTTTAAAGATTCAACATATATTCTTGATGAGGAAAATATCAGTCAAACTAAAAAGAATTTGCAAGATTTTATAAATGAGAGTAAAGCACCTGGATTACCTGGATGGTTTAGAGTTTAGTGTGTATATTATGATATAATATGTAAAAATTGCAATTTTAAGTGTATAATTAATAAAAACTGCTTGTTAATATTCCTGAACATTATGATTTGTTGGTAATGCATCACCATCATATATAAGAAGAAAAGAACGATTTTGATAATAATTTTTTGCATTTCCTTACACTCGTTTCTCTTTATATTATATTCTCTCTCGTATAACTTTATTAATTCTGGACTTGAATTCGATATTTTTTTATCTTAATTTCTTTCGTGAATACATTGATCTTTCGAGGAAATTCCAGAACGCTTTCTCTTTGATTAAGTAAACTTTAAAATTAGCGCGTGTAAAACAAGAATTTCTCTTATTTTCTTTCTTTCCGTGTTTCTTTCTCAAACGCAAGAGATATCTTCGTACGCAATGTGGGAAATGTAAAACAAAGTGCCAAGTGTATGCTTATAAAACAAATATTCGTTTGTTTTTAAAAACCATTTATAATAAATACAAAAATTCTTTCTCACTGTTCTTGCCAAAAAACCACAAAACAAGATAGTTGGAAGAAAAGGAAAAGAGCGAATAAAACCGATTATGTTTATCTCTTCTAATTAGCGTGCTGTCTGACGCTTCTTATATGCGACAGCTTCTCTTGTCATTTCTTGGTATATTCTTGTTATTTCATTTACGTATTCGTTAATTCCCTTTTTCCTAATTCCCTTTTTCTTCAACATTACAATACCAAGGGCAAATGCGATAATCAAGATTGCCCCGTAAAGTACTCGTAAAAGTGGCGAGAACGGGCGTGAACGTCGTTTGCTGCGCTCGCAACCCATACATGCGCGATCGATAATATACGACATATCTAATCGCATATGCGATGGGAAACCAACGTTCCAGAAGGACATTTCAACTTGGTCGTCGTCGTATGCACGTATCATATGGAAAGATAAGCAAAAGCTTTCTCGCTTGTCAATAGTAAATAAATTAAATAAATTTTAGCAAGAATAATAAATTAATTTTTATATGTTTCAGAAAGTGCCGCACAAGCGTTATTGAAGAAGCAATTTATATACTTATATATGTATACTATAAGAATGTAACTTAAAATAAACTTGCATTTTCGGGTTAATAGTATGAATCCCGATAGGAAAACATTTATGAACTTATGTGACAAAATCTTACATGAAAAATGTGATTTGCAATTATGTAGATATATTTTGAGAAATAGATGTAAAACTATTGATCTTTTTTCTAAAATATTTGTAACAGATTGCAAAATTAATTTCCAAATACTATTTCGGCAAAACAATAACGATATGGCGAATCATCTTAGCAGTATGTTTGCAAAATTAAATTTAAAAAGAAATTGTTCAATAATTGAGAAAAAAATTGTCGGCTATGTGATGTTTAAAACATGTAGATATATAATTGCATATGAAGAAGTCAAATTAATTCATGTATATACTTATGGAAATGCATAACGACTCTTTTCTAATTTTTGACAAATATTATTTACATTTTATTTTGGCAAAACTATTGCGTTATGATGAATCATCTTAGTGCAATCGTTGCAAAATCGTCGTCATTCATGATGGCTTTTTTGTGCAATATTTTCACAACTTACCTATTGGGGAATATAAATTGTGGCACTTTTTTGTTTAGTTTTTTTTGATAGAAGTAAAAAAAATTTCTTTGCAAAATGTATGATAACAGTTATAATCTTTTTAATCATTGTTGTTAATACAAAAATACACACATTAAAGCTGCACAAAAATATTTTTCAATAAAATATTTTATAATAAAAATACTTTATAATAATCTTGCAACGAAATACACTTATATATATTATCTTTTATCGAATCTTGAAGTACTATCAGCACATTCACAATCGTTTTTTGGCGCTGCGACATTTTGGTTCGGTTTTTAATCATATATCACACACAAAATATATGTGTGACATATGATTTGTAATATTAGTATTACTGAAATGTCATCGATAACGACGTAAAATGTTGAAAATTCGTAGAAGATAAACTCAATGAAAATGGAAAAATGAAGACTAATTAAAAACTTGAAGAAGATAAACTAAAAATTGATAAAAAAGGAAACGAGTTGCACTGGTGAGGAGATGTGAACTACCGGCAAATAAAGGCGAATAAAGGGAAGTATGATGACGTACTTTCGCAAGGGTGAAGAGAGGGGGTTGCTACCACCGCCAGCGTTTGCTGACAACAGAGTATAAAGTGGCCGCGTGTTTCAAGCTACGGTCACTCTGTTGCGGCAGCCTCACCTCGACGAGAAGACAAAAAGACAAGACAAAAACTCACGAGTTACTTATCAAGTTTTTTATTGGTTTCCTTGCCCACTTTTTTGGGACGACGTTACAAGTAACATCTTCCTCGATCTACATAGAAACTGGTGAGTTTCTGAATTTTCGCCCGACATCTTTTTCATCTATTTTATCTCGCGCAATATAAATTATAAATTTAATTTATATCAATCTGTACAAGCATTTTTTTTAGAAAAAAAGTATAAATACAGATAGAAAAGTATAAATACAGATATACTGATATACAGATAATACAGTATAAATACAGATATAAGTTAAATTTATAATGTATATTTCAAGATTATAATTTATTAATATACAGGTATCTAGAATAAAACTAATCAATTTTCCAAAAAAGTAGAAAAACAACTGTCTATAATCGGACGTCGCACTTTCATGCAATAAATGACGATCGATTTATGACAAAAAACGTAAGATCTGAAGGAAAAACATTGCATGTGAAAATTGACATCGAAAGAAGCTTATTCGCAATTTTGTCTCTTGATGTATCTGTCGTCGCTGTGCAAATGACGCGCAAAGATGTATGTAGAGTGCGTTTTTCGAATTCTAACGTGTTTTCCTTAAGTCATTTGCAAGTCACGATATAATTTAACGTTTGCAAGACATAGACAAATTGGATCTTTTTTCACCGGCTCTTTACTTACCTCTAATAATACGATTGCTGTGTTCATCGCACACATACTCAAGAAAATAAGTAATTACACAGATATTAATGAGATGAAAGACATTTTTAGAGAACAGAAATTATCCGCCAATTTCTGCATAAATTTATTTTACATTATTACATACATTTGTATTAATAATATTGCTGATTTGCTTGATTTTGCCTGACAAGAGGGTATTTTATTCTTAAAATAATAAAGAAACAATATATCAAATTCATAAATTAGAACATATACGTTTATACACAATCTTACGTAAAACTTAGTGCAAACAGTATTATATCTATTCACGTACAAGTTTTACAACATGTAATAAAACGAAGCATAGAAATTTTAAGCTTTTTCTTTCACACAAATCCGGGCGAGAAGTTTTGATCAAAAAATTTGCGGAATCCCAAATATTTCCATTATACTTCGTTGCTTTGTGACCTCAAAAACTTCACTTTACGAGCCCGCAAAAATGTTCAATTTATCTCTCGCTTCCACTCTTTCCTCTCTCCCTTTCCTCAATTCTTTAATCTTTATTGTATCTGTTACATTATTGCAAGACTACATTGAATTTCAAATGTTTGTAGTAAAGTTAATTGAAGATAGTTGAAGAATCTAAATTTTATTATTCTTTTTTTTAAGTTTTAATAAGCAAAATGGCTCTTCTTTCTTTTCATTCACTTATAATATCATCAAAGATCTTTTTGTGATTTTTTCTCGCATGAAATTCGCGACTTTTAAATTTTCAGTACCGAAACTTTGACATAAAGTCTGCAAACCGAAGAACTTTTCGCTATGTGCTCGAATTAGTATTGCGTTGACCTTTTCCTAATTAGCGAAATTAAATTCGTGCGGCTTGAAACGCACCGCATGGTGCACTTTGTGATTTCGAGTAATCTCGCGCGACGCGACCACACCAATTATCCTGAACGACACAGCGCGGCCAATAATACACTTCAGTTGTTTCTTTAATTAGTGGATTGTGCAACGGACCACGTTAGGCTTCATTTTTTCTTCACACCTCTTTATCTTTCTTTGCCTTCTTTTTCCTCTCATATATACATTTGTACATCACACCGACTGGTCCGCAAAATTTTTGTTTTTTCACAGAGCATTTTTTAGTCGGAAGAATCAATCGATATGAATGTATGTACATGTTTATTCTTTGTACGAAATAAAGTAAATAACTGCATGATTATTTGTTCCTCGAGTTCGTAAAAATCAATCCTGTTCGATGTCAGAAACGCTTTATATATATAAACACACATTTTACTTTCAGAATTGAAAGATGTCAGTACGAAGTGCATTCGCATTGGTATTATTGCTTTTTATTTTGGTGGAATGGTCGCAGTCGATGCCAACGATGGATAAAGATAAAGACAGATTTTTGAAGAATGTAGACGTAAGTAGAAAAAAAACAAATCTACGTACTATTATTTAATTTTTAAAACATATTATTTTTATTGCTATCTTTTTGAGACAATTGTCAAAATAACAATTACGATTATCCAAAGATCAGAAAAACGATAGACTAAAAAATCTTCGGTGCTTCACGAAATTGTAAAGATTCAACAAATTCTATTTTCGTCTTTGCAAATTTATTTTTCGACTCGATGTGATCAAATGTTCGATAAAACAAACTAAATTTTGAATTTACAAAATCTCGCATTCACAAATCTTTATATTGATAGTATTTTCTATAAAAGAGATTACCTGTTTAAAAATATGAGTACTTCTCGATCGAGAAAAAGAAAAGATAAAAAATCGATAAAAATCACTGAAGTTTAAAAGTCTTTCTATCTATAAACTGCAAATTGATTGCGATTTATGCAAAAACTCTCTTCCTTTCTCTCTCTTTAACGGTCTGTAGATTTATTTCCGTAGGTAAATCTAGGCCGTTCAAGTGCTTGTCAAATCTTGTCCCGACATCTGAAAAATAAATGCAAAAAAGAGAAGTCCACACGTTTGATTTTTTTCTATTCTCTTTCGGAGAACTTCCGTTCGATTAGATCAGCAAGTACAACGGACACGGCGTGGGGTCTGTGACAGCTGTCAGAAATGTCTTCGTTTTGACTGTGTTGTAATCGAGCGACAGAGAACAAAAGTGAAGAACGGAAAAAATATATTTATTCTAAACACACATATTGCGCGTATACGTTTACATTAAAAGAAAAAGATCAGGAAAAAAATGTTGCATCGATATCTTGCTTTTAATGTTTTACTATTTTCTTTCGCAGCGGACTCGAGTGTTTCGAATAATTCGGTAAAGTGAACGACAATCACAGTTGACAAACTATTCTCTCTCTCTCTCTCTCTCTCTCTCTCTCTCTCTCTCTCTCTCTCTCTCTCTCTCTCTC